AATCGCTCCATTTGAATCTGATGAACCATAGCTATTCTGATGGAAGCTTATGAAGTGCAGAGAATGACATGATGATCGTATGAAAGGGTAGAATATTCTCTCTCAGTGATTCAGACTCATCTTTGACTGAATCAGCTTCTGCGTTATTAGGGGGAATGCTACTGCTGCTGTAAGACCTGCTGCTTTACTGACTCACCGTCATAAAAAGCTAATGGGGTGCTCACATAAAACCAAAGTTTTTCTAACATTTCATACTTACTCACAACTCGCCTAACAAGACCCATGGCTGTGAGTTAACACACCAGTTAAGTCACATCTGGGCATCTAACAATAGAATTGATGAAAATCACAGTCATGCACGCTGGTCGTGTTAGCCATACTAATAAAGCTAAAATAAGAGAATATATGAATGATGGCATGCTTTGTCACATGTCTGGGGCAACAATGTTGCTGACGTCATTACTAGTTTGTGTCCACACATACAAACATAGACTGTATGCTTGAACTGGTTAAGGCTGTTGTTGCCATGTGTCCTGTCCCATTAGCTGCCGCCTCATTGGGTGATATCATGAAATGAAGCTGAATGCTGCACGGGGACTGGTGCTAATCAGACATCCAGATTTCTACCAGCTGCCTTTCTCAGAAACAGAGGGCCCTTATTCTCCAAAACAAGAAAAACACAGAGTGCAGCGGAGCCTCTGTGTATTTCTGACATTTGACTTATGCGCTCTGATTGCATCGTTGTGATTGTTTCCTCCTTTTACACAGATTTGTGCATTCGAACAATCTTCCAGGCATGTTTTTTCCAAAATGAAAACAGAAATGTTGTCCCCTCTCTAGTCCTACTTCCTACGCGTCTGACCCTGCAACAGAAACGGCATTCTACTCTCACTAAAGATCTCAGTCAACCACCAACATTTCTGAAGGCATCTCCAGGCTTTCCTAATGGAAACTTTTACACATCCTGGCACGTTGCCCATACCCCAGGACTCCGCAAAACCCCTAATGATGATTGAGAATGTACCCTCACTGCATAGAAAACATGCTGAGTCGCTAACATTGGAGTGTGCCGCAAGGTTGGCTTTGACATTGCAGAAGGGGAGGGGGCAGTGGGGGGGTGTAGAGCATAGAGGATTTGGATGGGAGGGTTATCATTAAAGTGGAGGTTGAAGTGTCTAATGGGAGCAACTAAAGCATAGTCGTTACTGTATGTTTTTCTTAGGTCGAATCGTCTAGATGTGGAAATGCTCTGTGAGATGGTGACAGCATGTGCTTTCACAATACTCCACCTTTGACCCTGTGGCCTTTAGGGAGCAGGTCAAGCTCCAGCTAATAGTGCGCAGAAGTAGAGGCAGTCTTGGTTAAGTGCAAAGCCAAGAACAGAGTCTCCTTTTAGACGTAGAGATATTGACGGGTTTGAGATGAAGGTTGATGGATTTTTTTTTTTTATTATTTATGACTACAAAGAGGATGTGGATTTTTTTACTATTGTTGTTCATGCTGCCGTCTCATGGTAGGAATTCTGTTTTCCTGGCAGTCCTCAAGATGGTGAGGTATAAGTAAGAGTTTGGTCTTGCTGGAGTAGTTTTATAACCAGAGGAAAAATTAATAGGTGGCTGCGTTCTTGAATTGGCATGAGGTTACCTTAGCTATGATTTAACAACTGCACCTCTGAGATCAGTTATGCATTTGATTCAATTTTTTCCTAATTAGGATTAAAGTCATTAGGTTTAATATGCAAGGTGAACAGCTCTGGCTCTAACTACCCATTATTAGATATTGCACAATTGTCAGAAGAGTGTTCTGGGCTGTGTATGAGGTTAAATGTATATGATTAATTTAAATGAAAACATCAACTGCAACAGGAGAAAGTCTCCTGTTGCATATAGCAACTATAATGTGTGTGTGTTATACTGGTAAATTCATACTGCTGCTGTATATAGAGTAGATATCCTTTGACACTGGAGCTTTGTTTTAACATGACATGAGTTGTTAAATTCACCTTTCCATCCAGTCAGACCACATATGGCTTTTTATTATTCATACATCTGAACTGTATTAACTTATATCAGGAATGCGCATGGTTGGTGAATTTATTTTTAATTAAAAATGTATTAATTATTATATGATATGTTTAAATAAATCTTTGGGATCTAATCAAAGTCATCCCAGACTGGAAGAGAAGGGGGGCGTCCTCTTATACTGATTAAACAGCCGCAAAGTTTATTCATGGAGTTAAACAACTGTTCACGGTTGAGTGGAACTTCTCCGGAGTATCTGCCTTTGCTCATGCTCTCTTTTGTCGTTGTTCCACTGGCTTTGTTCCTGGTTCAGATCAGAATTTTAATATCACTTATGAAACCTATTCAATTACACAGGCTATTGTCCATGATTGCTTGCAGTTTAGCAAATAATCATATCTAAGTGGTTACACATGACAGTGGCAATGGGGTCACTCCACAGGAGCTTTGATTTTCAACTCTTTGTTGAATCAATAGGGACGTTACTAGATTTAAAAAGGTGCAGTGAGATGAATCATCAAGAGTTCACTTCATTCATTAGCCAAAATTGCCTGGTGTGTGCTGACATGCACGTGTGTGCCTGTGTGTGTGTTACCAGGCCCAGGCCAGGCAGCTTAGTAATTAGATCAGGTTTGGTTTTCAGTTGCACCGTCATAATATCCACAGTCACTGAAAAAAAATGTGTCTGCTGCAAATCTGCAGATAAATTATCAAAACAAATTTCTTTGGTGTCTGGTAGCCTATCTATGGTCCCATTTCACTGGAGCCCTTTTTTCTGATTCTAAACCAGATTAAGCTTGTTTTCTTTGTTTTTCTTCTGAATGCATCTTGGCTACTGTAAAGATCTGCAAATAATTTTCTTCCATTGTTCCACTGGAAGTCATCTGACGACCATGGCAAAAGAAATTACCATCAGATCAAATATAACAGACTAAAGCCACGAGACGCATAACACAATTCCCTCTCTGAGCACGTTTAAGCCTATTTATTAAAGAAATATTCCTTCAGTTCAGCGTACGTCATGTGTTTCTTATAGATTCTCCTGACACAGCTGTTTAGAGGCTCAGTTTATGTGGCTCACATTCTGAGGTTGAGGAAACACGCGTTTCAAAGCCACTGAGCCACACAGATCACAGCAGGTCAAGACAGACAGAAACGCTGCGGCTTGGCTTGGATTTTCCTGAGTATATCTGTGATCACAGACCCTCAACCATATGCCAGACACTTTGATTACTGAATCACACATGACAAACATCCATGCGGTTGTTGTCTCTGACAGGATGATCAGTGAGGGAGTCTTCACCCCCGATATTACCCTTTATCTGCCCCGCTTTAAGCTATAATAGTGTCTAATCTGTTTTTCTGATAAATTTTTATGGTCAGCTCGGACTATTTTCAGCATGTGCAGCGGTTTGAAGGAAAAACATCATTGTGGCAAACCTATTACATCCCTTTTGGGGCTACTATTAGATGGTTGCTTTGTTTGTAAGTTAAATGAGATAATGTTCAAACATTACACCACGACAACATTTACCACAACACCGTTTTTCTGCAGAGATAATTGATCTTAGAGCAAAATACCACATCAGTGTCGCCTTCACAGAAACCATTCATTTGCCCCAACCCTTTCATATTTCCCATTGGTTTAAGAAAGTTGAACTCATCGCAATCCTCCACATATTTAACACCAATTTGCCAAGTGTTTCTCTAAGCGGAGGTCAAAGTTCAGGGCAGACCCAAGAACTGTGGCCCCTCCACAGCTCACGTCCTGGTCAAGGACTAAGGTCAGTCCCTGATAACTGAATGTCCATGAACCACACAGAGATGTTTGCCTGCAGCAGTTTAAGTGTTGTTGGTTCTTATTTAAGGGGATGTAAATACCTGTGGCATCAATAAACAGAAGGGTTCTATTCCAGACCACTTAATAACAGCTCCCTGTTTGAAATTTGTTAGCTCAGTGAAATAGCATCCTGTAGGGACGGATGTCAACAGAGAAGTATGATCAAGCCTGGCAAAGGATGGGGAAAGCCGTTGAAATTTGCAAATCTTAGAAGAGTTCATCTCTCCATGCGGATACAGCCCAAGTCACTGAGGAAGGGAGTCTTAATGGTTTAGTTTAGTCTGCTCAAGTTAATTTGATTGCTTTGGACTACGCAAATGCTCCCATCATTAGTGCTTAAGCCTGATCTAAGTCAAAAGCCTTGAGGTTTGAGTCTGACGGGCGTCACACTCAAGTTAGTGAGACACACTCACAACGCTAGTGAGAGAAACCAAAGAGAAAGAAATAGCACAGTAAATTAAAAAAAAAAAAACATTACAACAGTTAGTTAACACAAAACAAATGTATTTTAATACTGTTTCCTTCTGAGGAGAATACAAAGCTAATTTTTTTTTTTTTTCAGGAGTTCCCATTTAGACCTTATGTCCAAGAATATTCAGAGAGTCTGAAAAGAAGCAGCCCAGTCAAATAAATATAGAAGACGGAGACAAAAGGGAGACATACAGACACGCTGTGAAAGGGGAAAGAGGGGAAAATGTGAGGTGGAAGAAAGTTGCATGAAGTCTTGGTGTTTTTCCCTGGCAGCTACTCCCATTGCCCCCATTCTTTTCTCTCACACACACTTCATGCTCGTTTTGAAGCTAAAGCTGTTAGAAGGGCAAAACAGTAAAAGTCAAAGGAAGATAAACATTACTGCAGTTAAAAATCACATTTTCTTCCTCTCCCACCAGCGGCCGCAAAAACTTACCCCGCATTGGGTGAAAGAGTTTCCTTCAGGGGAGGGAATGATCATAACCACTGAACTGTAAGTGTCCTACTGTTGACATATGACCCATCGCAGTTATAAACCTCAACAGGTCCCCTGACTCCCAGTAGTACTCTGCTGAGCCTAATTTGTCTCAAAACAACAATGATAACCAAGACAGAAATCCCTTCACAGTATTTCTTCAGTGTGAATTATTGGGAGATTAAATTATGAAAGTCCGCACCGTGTCTCATCAACCTTTAGGTTAAGGCCAGGATGTTCATTATTTCAGTTGGTTTTCAATACAATCTAGTGCCATAAAACACCCAAACTGAACAACAGGAAAAACGAGAATTCGGGAAATAAGGATATGAATAATAGCTTGATGAACTTAATATGACTTTAGTTGAGATTAATAAAAAGGGTTAAATTAAAGTCTAATTATTGAAATTGGATGAAATATGAGGAGGTTTAAAACAAACCAACAACAATAGAGTTCAGATTTGCTACCCAATAAACAATGTTACCAGTTTCTGGTTTCTGTGAGTTGACATAATAAATCAGGAGGAAGTTTCTTTGATATTTATATGTATAAAACATACACAAAGTGTCTGTTTTAGAGAAGCGGGGCAGTTTTCGTCTACTCTGACAGCTGCACAACATCCACATATGAACATCAATGTAATGTCTGAGGAAACTCGAATCTCCTCGAGACCAGTTCAAGATGTGCTCTGAAGTGACCCCCACTCCTTTTGTGTCTATAAATCATGATCGGTGTTGAGGGGGTAATAGTGGAACCATTAGTTTACGCAAAATGTAGTGACAATTCATTCATATTTTTGCATCAAGCAAATGTGTTAGGACAGCACAGGAGTAGACTTTATGGTTTTAATGCTTAGTAAAACAGTTATGAACAGCTATGCTTATTCACACACATTCACTAGCATTTAGGTTAAAACATGAAGCAGCCTCTCTGAGCCATCTGGTTGTGATAGATAGTGGAGTACCAGTAAAGCTTATACTGATCTAATTTTTTTTTATGGACACAAAGAGCATCACATCTCTGTCTGTGAATAAAAGGAAACAATTCTGAAATCTCACATTACCACTGAGACCCAACAGGTGATTTATGAAGCTCAGCACCAACTTAGTTATAAACTGTATTGTATGCAGGTGAACGGCCAAGGTCTCATTCAGAAACTGTAATCCAATGCTGTGTGATTGTTTCAGTATGCTCAGTGTTTCACCGCTCAATGTGCCATGTTTAAAAAAAAACAGTGAAGTTTAAAGTATTTCATAGCAGTCTCAGCAGGGACAAATATTTCATGGCACGGTAAAATGATGGCACAGGGATTTTACCGTAAAAGTATTGACAATGAGCAAAACTTTTTTTTTCTTTCAAATACCATCCAAAGACTAGTATTAGTTAGGTATACTTTTTATGATTTCAGATATACTTCTAAAGATAATTGGGTTTGTCTAAAATTTACCATTAAATCCAGCTGAATATACTGTTGCAGCGTAGCATTAATGATTTACAAAGCTCATCTATTGGGATCTGCTAATGACAACAAATGATTTAATATTTTGCTGCAAAGTCTAAAGCTTTTTATTCTTTTCTGTTGTTGTTTTCTTACCATTTGATTCGCTCTCTGGACTAACTGTTCAGAGAAGTCAATGATGAGGGCACTGGAGAGCAGCTCTAACCACGTAAACACCTCCCCCTCACTCTCCCAGGAGACCGCCCTTGTGCTAGCACACCCGTGGCCTCCTGGGCCAGGGAGGAAATAAGCGAAGGAGCTGGTTAGTGGCAGGCTCAAGAAAAAAAGAGAGAGAGAGAGGGAGAGGGCACGGAACACCACGCATGATCAGAAACAAAGGTTACACACCACTGCTGCCAAAATAATTGCATTAGTCGTTCGACCACCACTAACTTTAGGTCCTACTGTTTTGTTGTCTGTAAGGCAGGATGAGAACCTGGTACACACCTAGACCTTTTGGACCCTTGGTTTGGAAACATGTCCAGTTTATCAACTGATAAGGCTGTAGGCTGATTTTTTTCTATAATGTTTTGGGTCATTTTCTACTATTTTTAAGGCACTTTTCCTTAAATACTTGATTTGGATATATTAATGTTTAGAATGAAAACTTTATGGATATTGTGTTTGTTGAATACAATTACATTTTTTATGATTTTTTTGCAGGACTTAAAAGTCTTAGAAATTAAATTGACAATAATTGGTACAAACAATTGTTTTTAACTAAAACTAAATGCAGATAACAGAAGCAGCCAGCAGAATAAGGTGTGTGATCCCAAACACCAGCAGACTTTCACTATCACTATCTGGTCCTTGGGTACAGTAGCGTATCAACCTTGAAAGTATGACAGAGGTTGAAGAGACAGCTATTAGATCCTTTGTCCTGCTTTCGTTGGATTCTGGCAAATGGACACGATGATGTCATAATAAACAAAAACATCATCGTCTTTGAACATCAACCACTGCCATTTTTTTTTCTTTCTGCAAGTCTAAATGTAAACCATGCATTCCATTGCATCATTGTTCACTTTAGCAATGTGAGACATTTGGCCATGGCCAGTGACAGCAGGGGCTCCACAGAGCCTGAAAAAGTATTGCAGGGTCTACACAGTGCAAACTGGGCTTTGTTCTTAAAACAACCTCACACTACTGCTCCCCTGGATTCTCTATCATTTCCTCTGTCAGGCGTGGAGGCTGAGAATTTCCACATGCAAAGGCACGGGGCTTCATACGACTGGGATGAAACATTCTGTCCGTACATATCATCACATCATTAGGCCCGAAGGGAGCCCTGAGATAGATTGGAAGCTGTCTACCTGCGAGGCTCAGATGAATTTATGAAGCACTTTATCATGATGAAACATTAGTGGAACACTTTGTCTCGTTCCATTTGTGTTTATCTGAGGGAATAAAGACCGCCTCTCCCTCTATCTGCCCTGTTCTCATTTCATTCTCACTGTCTCTTTTTGTCATTTATGTGTTCTAATCCTTGACCCCTACCTGGGTTTGATGCTGCTGGTTACTGGGACATGATGAGTAGCATCTGAGCCTTGGGGTCCAGCCATTCATGCCATGTGTGGGAGGCAGCAAATTGTCCATTAAGTGTTTATGCTGAGGCCCGAGAGAAGATTTGATATAGTGGGGAAACAAAAGTAATATGTACCAGGAAATTCAATTGTCTTTCTCTCTCTCTCTCTCTCTCTCTCTCACTCTCTCCAGCAACTTTGAGCCTTAGTTTGGCTTCCACGGCAAATCAATTTTACATGAAAGCTCAAGTTCAGATGAAGTTTAAACGCGGAGTCTATCGTTTACATCTTCGAGCTTCTACGCAGATTCAATGCCAGTGTGTTTCAGTGTTTATTTCAAAGTGCTTCTATGACTCAGGCGCTTCCTCCCATGATGTCGAGATTCCAAGCAGCACAATTGGAGGAAGTTTTGTTTTGTTTCTCACACACTGGACTGTGCTGCTGCAGGAGCTCTAAGTAAGCAGAGGAAACTCCCCCTTTGCTTAAGTGTGAAGGTCCTTGACCTTAGCACAGCTGCAGTTAATTCATGTAGTGAAAGTTGCAAAAGTTCACAAAGGTGCTTCTTCAGTATCAAGAGACTCCAAGGGAGATCACAAGACCTTGGAAGGAAGCCTTTAGGCTGTGTTGTTGATAGTCAGCTGGGGGGAAGGTGAAGTCACTCTGTCTCAGGTCAATTCCAGGCAGTTCTGATTTGTCAAAAGAAGATTGTGTTACAGCTGCAGGAAACTCCAAGTGGCTCTTAGGCCTGATCACTCCCATCTCTGCTGACCACAGGGCATCCTCTGTTCTCCAAGAAGACCGGCTAGTATTGAACCCCAGCAACACTAAGCGCTCTTTTAACAGTACTAACCGAATCTCAGGTGCATACTCGCTCCGTGCTGAACTGTTCAAGCAGCTAAATCAAGTCAGCAATCGATGCTTGGACTTTTTCATATAAAAACAAAAGAAACACCTTTGTTTTTGTTTTCGTATGCCTTGATCTGTCCTGATTTTTAAGTAACAAAGTTTATATACTCTTTGTATAATTTTTTTTTTCAAACAGTCACTTTTGCTGCTGAATTATAATCTCAAACAGCTGCTACTGTCTGTGCTTTTGTATTTGGAAAACCAAACAAAGTAAAATCAGATGGAAAATTGACAGGAAAATCAAACTACAGATTTTTTGATTAGCATGACAAACAGTAAAATCACTTGAACAAATTTGTCAAATAACTTATTATTTGCCCAAACAGCAAATGTCCAACATAAACAAGATGTCAAGCTGTAAGACTAAGTCAAAACAAATGAGCAGCACATTCAACCAACAGACTACAATGTGCCTCCCATATGCTGAGAGTCTGAGTCTGTCTGACTGTGTCCATCCCATGAGTCGTCCTTAGAAACCACATTTGTCTGTATTTTCTTTAAGACAGACACAGATTTGCCTCAAGGGTGGTTAAAATGGTGAAAAGTCTTGAATGGACTAATTCAATAAAATACTGTTGTTTGGTGAAAATGCTTTCACCCATATCAACATAAACAATACCTGGAGAATCTGCATCGTGTTTACATGATGGAAGCTGCTGTTTACAGCCTTTAGTTTCCTAACCCCTAAGAAAAAAGAAAAATCTGCATATTGTCCAATTTGGCAGATCTGTGAATAGAGCAGGTCATTTGCTGGAAAACACACTGTGAGCATTAATTTCTCCAGTACCTTCTATCCAAACGCCACAAAAGGCTTAAACTAAACGGAACATTTCCAGTAGGTGTAAACACAACTGACTCAGACAACCACAAAACACATTTGTTTTGGGCCACATGTGTGGCCACATGTGTGCAAAGTCTGGGCCTAAATCACCAGACACTGGTATCATTTTTAATGTTAACCAATATGCATGAAGGGTTCACAGTTTCCAGTCGTTGGTACGATGACTTGTAGGTAATGGAATCTCTAATCCTTTTCCTTGCAGATAGTTAAACCTGGCTCAACTGTGCTTTGGTTCACTCATAAATACAGACATTTTAAATTTGGTTTACTATGATACATTTCCATAGATGTAAAGTTTTCATTTATTTTAATTTGAGCTGTTGAAAGGAGAAATCCTTCTGTGGAAAAGAAAAAAGAACAGTACGGAATGTCTGTAAACCTGCCTTACTACAGTTACAGAGACGTCCACATGAACTGAGGACGACCTTGCCAAGGACACTACTACACTATTAGTAGTCTGTTTTTACCATTTGCTTTTTTAATTTTAGACAAAATATGCCCCCTGCAAGACGATGCCTTTGAAAAATAATGATCCAATATATTCAAAGTAATTCACACAGATGGGACAGGAAGTTGCAGGAGTCTTTCTGAAATGGTTTGTAGTATCAACAGGCAGTGGGCAGCTGTGACAACACCCAGAAGATGTTACACAATGAGTGGTTCCTAGCTCCTTGTAGGTTCAATGCACCAAATTGGCAGCCAGTCAACTGGAGGCCAATCAGTTTCCATCTTAGTTGATACGTGCAGATGCATTTAGCCCACTGCACATCCATTCAACCATTAGGGCGCACCCCCATTCAGACGGGGATTTATCTTTAAGCCGCCGCAAAAAAACAGAGTGGAACTCCCTGACAAAGGAGCTGAATTGTGCATTCAATTTGTTTAATACGACTCATAGTGAATCACAGTCATAAATGTTGGGCCACAGACACACCTGACTGGAATAGATCTCCATTTCTGCACAGCCTTGCCCTGTGGTTCACCGAATACAACGGCACTACAGCGACTGAAAGGATGTCACCTTGTTTAATACAGACAGACAAGGGCCCTATTTTTCGCCAGTGGGAATATTTGGAGCCTAGTTTTCCACTGTTTGTTTATTTATGAGAGGGAACCCTCCCTATGACAGTTTTCCATTAACCTGGTACACTGAGAAAAAAAAGGAAAACAACAACCTGCTGTTCAGGGTAAAAACTAACTTTAAAAGGCTGAGTCTGAAGAGAGTATCTTCTACTTTATATCCCTGTCTAATCACATTAAAAAGGAGAAAATTTTAATTTTAGAGCCAAATTCCACTGTGAACAAAATGTTCCCTAGCAATTCTCTCTGTTTTTCCTCCTTCTGCATTTTTGTGGTTTATCTAGTCACTTCACAGAAGGTAGAACAGAGTCAGACAAAAAATAGTCATGAGAAAGGATTTGACTTTCAGATTAGCTAAATGCTAATCTGTGTGCCACATGTACTACTTATATTCCTAATCGTTGCCTACATCTCTCTGTTAGTGTGTTCATAGGTTTCAATATTTATGTATGTATGAATGTTTTTTTTCTTATTTCTCAGAAGATGCCGAAACTAAAAAGCTTCCCCATTAAACAGCTATAAATAGATTCACGCTGTTGTCTTGTGGTGTGACAGTTGGCCACATCCTGTTTCAGGGATTCTCACCTTGGCCAGTTTTTTACCTCTTGTTCTTCTCTTTATCACCTCTTGCTTAAGAATGGAACATAAACATGCCAATGGAAATTATTAGATGAGAAATCAAAACAATGTTGTAGCTAAGATGTGGGTGGAAGAAACGTCACAAAGGAAGCCACAGCTTTTCCTCTAAGATCTTTTTTTTTTTTTTTTTATAAATTGCAAGTGTTGGGTTTTTCTTTTTCCTTTGTCGGCTAACAGACACAGGATGCTGAAAAATTTAAGAGAGAGTGTGATCACTTAATTGTTGCATGTGCTGGTACTTCCCTGACAACCTGCAATGACAAAGCTAAAAATAAATTCAGCCTGCAAATCCTTGTTTAGCCCAAGGTAAAGTTGAAAAAGAGCCAGCAGTACTGGCATAGGCTGAATTTTTCCAAAGGGAGTTCCTCCCATAAAGGGAGGTTACTCCCAACCAACATGTGTCTGTGTGTGCGTGCTTGAGTGTGGGGAAAGTAGGGTATGCTATTGCAGGTGTGCGCCTCCTACCTTGAAAGGGGAAACTGTTTTTGACTCTATTCTGGGCTTCAGTCAGTTGACATTGTTGGTGCTAATGCAAATCCACACAGACTGGTACCAGAGAAGCTGGTGCGTGAGGAAAAATGAAAAAAAGTAAAGGGAAAAGAAAAGGAACATTTATTCAGGCTGGCAAGTAAAAAGACCGAGGCAAATCTTTGCTTCTGTCCTTACTCAGATTAGAATTGTTTGCTTCTTGCTGAGATTGTTGCTGTTTTGCCAGTAGAATTAATAACATACTAGCTACTGCTATACAAGACTTACTGTAAACCTCCTACTAGTCTTAGCTACTGCTATACAAAAAGACTTACTGTAAACCTCCTACTAGTCACTGTTGTCTGATTCACTTCTTTTAGATCTACCAGACATGTTTAACTTAAACACAAACAAGCACTCAACCTGGCATTGATCTATGGAGTGCTCAGATAAAGACATTGTCAAGACAGTCGCATATGTCAGTTTAAAAGTCCAATATACGCTGCAGGTTATATTTATGAATTAAGGTGCTTTGTAGCATCTTAATAATCCGCATTTGTTAAACAAACCAGTTAAATAAGCTTTGAGTAAATTACCGACATATTTAATGAGCGTTGATTTTTTATAGACTTTTATAGACTATAGATAGATTCTTCTAACGACATGTAATGTAATTAATTATCTTTGTCAGCAGCACAATTAAGTCACTGTCATGATACTTTCATTATCTATCAAAAAAGAGGACATAAAAGGACTCAGTTCTTTTTTTGTTTGTTTTTAAATATTTCAGATGGTTTACTGTTCACTAAGCAGTATCTCCTGATGCCACCTGTTAGCCTATTTCAAACCCCAGAGTGGGTGGACTTCCTGTTTCGGCTCCTCAATGCAAGCTCTGCGTTAGCCAGTCTTTTACCCTCTGTCTACATCACTGAGCTTTATCGTGACAAGCTCTGTGACTAAGGAGCTTCTTGTTTGCGCTGGGTTACAGAGCCTGAGGCTCCCAGTCGTCTTCACAGTCACTTCCCTCTGTTTTGCCAAAAAACACAAGAGCAGATAAAGGCAGGAGAACGATCAGTGTCTGCCTGAGAGTGTGGGAAAGGCGAGGGCACAGGAACTAGAGCAGGAAGGAGAAGATGACAAGTGAAAAACAGATATGGGTGTACGGGACTGATATGAGTTTTAAAGGCGGGATAATGACACTGATATGTTTGGTTTGCGATGACGGATCCACAGTATTTTTCATTCTATGAGCCAAGCATGTAGTGGAGCCTTGCCAGATGTGTCATTATCAAACTGGCATTCTTCTTAACATACTGTTCATACTGTTTGTTCAACATTTTAAGGTTTTGGAGTAGGTAAATAACCTTGCTTGTCTTCTGGACAACAGAATAATTCATCACCTGATTCTACTGTGGCAGATAGTAGTAGTATTAGTTAACCCCCAATTTCCTGTGATAAGTTGATGTTATGTTTATAAGTAAATATCCAAAATGTAACATAACTGGAGAAAATTACAAAAAACATAATTAAATTAAAAGTAAAACGATAAAGAATTGAAGGTGGATTTAAATATAATTTATCATCTGGTTCCCACATTTTAACATGCAGCTGCTCTTCTGCATCAGACCTGAACTTGATCAATGTTCTCTTTTCTTTCCACAGTCAACGAGATCATCAGAAATGACCTCTCCAGCATCTCTGTACATACTCATGCATAGATGTTCCTCCACAGCATCAGCAGCGACCACCTCACAAAATCTACATAAGTAAGAGGACAGAGAGAAGATGAAAATGAAGAATGCATATTTGAACAGGACCTCCAAACGCACCGTCAGCGTGTTTCTCACTGAAAGACATGCTGCTGATTCACAGTGACAATCACAGGCTTCAACACCGCTTTGACAGAATGAAACAATTGAATGTTACAGTATGTTTACAGAAAAAAGGAAAAGTCATATCGGGGGCAATGTATGACTACACTTGCCTTAATTCACAAATAAATGTTTTTGTTTTTTTTTGGACCAAACAGCTCGGTGGGCTTTTGTGACTCTTGTAGCATTGACAAATGACAATCTCCATTGTGACAGTGATCTGTTTGTACTGTAAATGCATGGACAAACTAATGAGACAATTGGCGTCACTCTTCGTCAGTTTGGTTATTCTGTCTGTGCGGTCAGTCCACAACAGTCGAATCGGTGCCTTATGACAGTGATGGTAAACAGCAGACGACAAAACAGAGCCATCACGCAAATGCAAATGGTTGGAAACCCAAAGTCGAGGATTTTATAAGACATTTTTCCAATATTTAAAGGATTTGTTTACAGGGAAACAGCATAAAAGGATAGAGAATATAGGGAGTATGTGAATTGCAGATTTGTTTTTCTTGTATTTTTGTTGTATTGTTTTTCATTTATGCTCATGGTTATTGTATGATGTTACCTTGTATAAACATGTATTTGACCAATAATATGTATGCCTTATGCTTTTATCACGCAGTTTGCTGTTGAGCTTCCTATGTGTTGTTGTTTTGTTATTGTACTTGTTATTGTTGTGGGTTTTTTTGTCGTCTTTTATTTCACCTTGGTGCCTATTTTTAAAATCATCCCGTCTGGGTCTTCCAGTCTGTCACCAAGATGACAAGATGCAGAGACAATCAGAGATGTATATAATACATATCCTATGACAACAGCTCCTGGTTGCAGGGGCTTATGAAAGCAGGTAGCAGCCCCACTCCCCTCCCCCCAAATCCACAAGTTAGAAAAGTTAGAAAACAATCATTTTACCTGATAAACTCTAATTATGATACTACGGGACAATGTATATTGATTGTCTTGCACTGCAGGTTTGCATGTTTATAGGCGCAGTCTCTTCTTTTTTTTCTCGATATCCCGATAATTCCAGCGAGGAGTTAGCAGGACTGTTATTTACAGATGGCAATAATTGATGCGATGAGACCAAAGGATTTTGTCTTTGGTGAAATTATTGTCAAACCTTTCCTTTTTCTGTCGGTGACTGAGGTTTAGAATGGCTCCTCCACACAAAAAGAAATAAAAACATTACGCACTTTAATGTAGAAGCAGCGGGTGTTCCTGCCTCCAGACCAAATATTGACCATTGATTTAAACTATCGCGTCTTAATGTACCCCAGTCACACAGCTGCCGTCCTTTTAGACTTTTGGAGCATGCACACCAAACAGATTCTGGAGATGTTTTAGCTGTCACTTGCTTTCCATATAGCTTACTAATACATTTTGGAATTGTAATAGCATGATAAAACTTGTTTAATTAAATTTCTCATTTTGTGCCTTACTCTTTTTCTTGGCTACAAAGTTATTGCAAATGTTATGATGCTTTTCGGTGTAGGCACAAAGGTGACACGTTTCTCTTAAACATGAGATATTTATGGAAAAAAAAGTGTTTTAAGTGCATTTAATGTGTTCTAAGCAAATAAATAAATGATATTATGGTGAACATACTTCAACAGACTGCAGTAATTTCATTTGTACTGACTACAATCATGTGCATAGCGGGAGAACAGAGAGGCACGAGGCTACTGATAAACCATGCTAATTAGAGTATATAAACACTGACACTGCCTGACATCACAACATTATTTTATTCTTTTACCAATGCATTTCTGTGCAGTGCACCAAAATGAGGCTGACTTCAGCAGAAATGGTCAATTGTTTAAACCATAGACTTGAGTAGAGGGCTAAAAACAGATATTTTAGAAAAATATCTTTTGTTTATTTTAAAAACTATATAGTACTGCAGTGCAAAAGCTATTACATACCTTTCTGTTTTAATAGCAAAAAAAAAGGGCAGAATTTTAATATTCTTGAAATCTAGTCCCTGTTCAAAGATTTATGAGCCACAAGTGGGCCTCATGCCAGTAGTTTGAAATTCCTTGGTATAAACCTCATCAGGTATTGTTTGTTGATAACACTTACAGATGCTTATATTTACTGTAGAGTACAGTTACTGTAACAGATAGGCAGTATTGGGCATCTGCTCCAATTCAAACATTAGGAACGACAGCTCACCGTCGCTGAACGTAAATAGCTAAAACCCTACATGTTATTTCCCAACCTGTCATTTCTAACCTACTTTTATAGGTTAGCCCTAAGCTGAAACATAGAGTTGCAGCACAGTAAAAGACAGTGTTTGTGTACTGTTTTCTTATCATTTATCTTTTAATTGAACTGACTGTACAGTTTAAGGTACAGGTATACTGAGTTTTACAGGTTATCTATTTGCTGTTGGAGCATTTTAAAAATTTAAAATAGGGTTCCTCAGTGAATCTGTCATCAGCTGGTGTGTGATTGTCCACATTTGTTTCAAACTGAAGAAAAACAAAGCTATGCTGCAGTTTACCAGGAAACGTGCAACAAGCTGCTGATATGCCAAGTGCAAGCAGAGGCCTGTGCGTTTTCCGGTGAGTATTGTCAGTGGTGGGTAGTTAAGACTGAAACGGCTTTCCTCCATGGGAGCCCTGCCACACTCCTGTGTACCACCTGCCAGTCCTCCAGACTTTTTCCATCCAGCAAAGTTATGAAGTGCCCATCCCCATGGTGACAGAAGGCAGGCCTAGGCGGTGACTGTGGTTCGACCAAAATAGAATCACTATTTACAGATGCAGTCACGCCCCTTTTTTTTCCTGGCAATCTGTTCACCTTGCTCTAGTCTTTATCAGACTGGGGCAGTGCCCTTGAAAACAATGGACAGATGACACCAGGTCACAGCCAAACCGTCGAGGGACGCTGATTAAAGATAGAATGTAAACCAAAACACAGCTTATGATTACAATGACATTTTGAGACCTTTACTTTGGATTGGGACGCTAATTCCATGATTTCTTTCTAAACAATAGCTCAGTGGGTTTTGTACAATTACCAACAGAAAAGGACAAAAACAAAGACAGGGTAAAACTGTTACTTTCAGGACGACCAAATTTAGGTAACATGCTACGCTCATTCATTTATCAGCTATCGCTTAGTCCTGTCCTGTAACGTCCTGTAAAGAGTATGGAACCGATTCCGGCGGCCATTGGGCAAAGACTCATTACAACACGGTCATATTCAGGTCTGACTCCAAATTTACGTACACACAATTTACTTTAAGGAAAGTGAAATTATAGTTGAATTCTATTCATCTTTTCAATAAACATTGTCTCCTGCTAATTACATTAGGTGTTTGCTTTATGAACATATACAGAAGTGCTTATCAGGTTATAGACTCATAACCTGACAATGTATCAACATTTAGTATTGAAATAAAAAATGGTTATTTAAAATATATTATTTTGCAGCAAAAACACTAGATTAAAATGGTTTTTTTACCATGAACTGTTCAAGTTTAGTTTTTTATATCATAAGTCAAATAATATAAAAGCTGTAAAGATAATATACATTTGTAAAGAAAAAAGTATTTAAAGCCATTTCATATCATGTAGTATTTTTTAAAAAATCGTAATAATTGCACAAGTAATAATATTATATCCTATGGCTGGGCCAGATGTTCCTTCCTGTATTCTGCGCCAAGTCTCTTTTAGACAAATATTTAATGGAGCCACATTGAGAGTGGTATTGATTTTCTCATAAGTAAACAAGACAGAAAATAAGTATTTAAAAGCTTGAGCAGCGATCCCATAGTTGAAAATTCAAACATGGCAGTGAGGGTTTGTGTTCAGGTATACATTCACATGATTAATGTGATGCTAACAGAGAATAAATGGATCAGATGGATCCTGTGTACTGGGTTTTCATTTTAAGACTGATGGTCAGAGTAAAGGTTCGGCAGCAGCGACTGTATTTCATTGTGCCTGAGGAGAAAACAAAACAAAAAAAAAGTTTTATTGCAAGTCTTATCTAAAACGCAAAAGCAATTCAGGAAAAACCATCATACTGGCTTTTCTTTTTTGGCCCTGAGTGTTGGTAGCCTGACAGTCCTCATAGGCTTTCGCTGCTGATAACGTATGAAAATGATTTGTTATCTACAAGATTTGTTTCTTCTCCAAGTGTCTGGAACTTTGTGTGTGTGTGTGTGTGTGTAATTCCTTCCTGGATCTCAATGATTATGCAAATGTTTCGTTTCACTGTGTTTCAGCAAAGAAATGATCCACTGGTGATGGATCCACTGATGATCTCACTGACGCTGGACTGAAACTAACAGATGACGACTCTTTGATGGCAAAAGCAGAGACAACAACGCACTGTGTCCTTGCAGGTCTAAGGTTCGCAGACTGTGCCACGTTTACCACAAAGACACACCTGGCGGAGGGCATAACTTCAAAGTCTAATTGCGTGAATTTATGGCATCTCACTGTTCTTGGCTCCTCTGCAGTTCTATTCCCACAGAGCACTGGAATTGGCCTTTTATAAAGAGAATGCATAGGCAGAGCCTTGGAGCTCCTACGTTTGACTTTCGTGTCCATCTGCCGGCAGTAAATCCTTGATATACCTCTGTTAAGAAGAGCATGCAGAGAAAACCATGGGGGTGGCTTTTAAAGGTGACTGCATGCGCACACTGAGGGAGCTCTGATAGCTGCATCTCACAGGCCAGACCTACATTTCATCTCTTTTGGTCCCTTGAGGTTAACTTAGATTTTTATTTATTCTTTGTAATATATGTCAGATGAGCTCAAGAGAGCCCTTCATCAGTGATAAAGGAAGAAGATAGGAAGTGTACGTGTGTGTGTGTGTGTGTGTGTGTGTATTTGTGTATTTGAGCATGTGTTCACGTGTGTTTTTCATCTGTTGAAGGTGCAGCTGTCCGCCTCCACAGGTGTAAACAGATCCTTTCATGGGACAGTTTCACATGTTACAGAAAGAGGCAAATAATGACCAGCCAGGCCGCTGACACGGCCGCATCTCTGCCGGCACACAAAGACAAATCACCTTTTTAAAAGACACTTTAAGAGACGCTCCGAAAAGCAAACAGATGGGGCCTGGAAAATCGTGTGCCGGCTTTTATTCTCCATCTGCAAACATTCAATTTTATTCACCCTCTTTTGTGATGCGTGAAATGTTGTGCAAGGTTTTTATAAAATTTAGTGGTTGGACAGATGTTTGAGCTTAATAAATGTGAAAAGTGAGAGTTTTCTTTAAGTATGTGTTTATACGATCACAGCACACGACTTCACCTACTTCTCAACCTCAGAGTGAGAGTGATTCTATGCAGCCTTTAGTGCTGCCTTAAAGTCATTTGTCTCTCGAGAAAAAAAAACAAAAAACTCAAAAACATCTACAGCAATCATTCTTCCACTGTTTGCAGTAAATGATTTGGTACATATGCAGAATGTTTATGTTGAAGTACACTGTAGCACACATTAGGGATGCTCTTAATGGGCTACAGTAAAAGCCCTTGCTAGTCAAGAGTTCAGGCAGGTGCAGACTCTTACAGTAGATAAAGGAGACTGGTACAGAAGATGAGTTCACGACAATCACTGTGAGGCTTTTAGACGCCTTCTCCAAGCTCAATCTTCATTTCCCCTGACACTGATTTTGCAATAAGGATCCGGAGAAAAGGGGAATGTCCATCTATTCATTTTAATGATGCCTCATTATTGACTGCTGGCAGGGAGGGGGCGGGCAAAGGTAATGATTCTTTGTCTTTGCTGGCCAATCACTCCTCTTAAAGGAGTAGGACTCAAAATCAGGCCACTAATGGATGACCTTAAACTGACCCCACGTGCAAACTATGCAAAGTGACTTCCCGACATGGAGTTTGAGTTTAAGGTCGCTGGTTGCTCCACATTTCTTAACTAAGGACATTATGTTTTACATTTATGGTTACAAGGCTGACAATCTGACTGTGGCAGTAAATACGGATTTTAGGGTAAAAAAACAAAAAAACAAAATCCATTAATGATCCCAAGATTTTCTAAAAAGAGTTGTCTATAGTTGAGCCTTGATCACAGTTTTACATGTAAATATATCAATGAGATAAACAATTTGCTATACTACAAATACTGTCATTGGTACCTCAAAAACTGCACCCAATAAGAAATGGAAATGGGAAAATAAACTCATTTTGAATTAATTTGCAATGAAATTAGAACATTTGTAGGAATTAGTGTTTCAAACAAACTGCATCATAACTGATCATATCATTAAACTACCATCCATGATACAGTCCAGATAATATAAACCATCCTCAAAAAATGCATATTACTCTATAAAGGTTTTGACACTGATGTAATTATTGTTGTTATAATTGAATCCTGAAAGGATACATCACTGCCAACATCATGGGCCTATTTTTGCACCTCCACAAAAAAAAAAAAAAAAAAAAAAAAAAAAAAAAAAAAAAAAAATAGAAAATAGCAACAGAGGGCAAAGTCAAGAGGGCAAAGTCACTGAAGACAAGCTAACCACCATATTGACCTCAAAAAATATTTTAAAGGTTATTTGTGTTTATTTTTGTATACTACGTTGTATGCTACCTTTAAATAGCCACTGGAAAATGATCCTACTGTTGCCTCTAAAACCATAGTTTGACCACAATTTATAAACCTCTTAATATATATATTGATTAAAAAATAATCCTGCGCCTATTGCACAGAACCACAAACAGCATGTTATTCCGTCTTCACCTCAGTGAGCACGCTCATCTCTGCCAGCCTAAGCTGTCATCAGTCTGTCAAGGTAATGAACCGTTACTTTACTGCAAGCTTCCAACAGCTCTTTAAGGCCTACTTCACACCACTGAAGAAATACACTCAGGTATTAGTTGTTCTGCCTGGATGGTCTGTTGCATGATGGGTGGGCGGGGAGGTTATTAGGAGCGTTCATCTCCAAGGCTCCCCAAGCCATACTATACTGAAACTGACCACAAGACAACCCTATGATCCTCAAAGATTACCTGTCTCCTGCTCTGTATATGAATGTTTTATCATAAAAGCTTTTCTTTTTTGCTAAGTGCCTCCTTGAGTGTTTGCTTTTAACTTTTGATTACTTTATGTCTTGTGAGGAAGAAAAAAGAAAAAGAGAAGGGCCCATTTGAATATAATGGACTTAACGGGAAAGGTAGTCTCTGTTGCTTCATTGAGAGATTGGGGCACGGTGGGGTAATACGTCTCAGACGGTGTTAAAAAAAAAAAAAAGTTTGGACAAAGTGGTAATTTTTAGTGCCTTGAGCCAGGTTTTTATCTTGACATTGTAAAAGTTGGCTAAGCAGCTGGAGAGAGCCCAGGGAGACAATAGACATGACACAATCATATACATAAAGTGATATAACAGGCTCTGTATAGGATCCATATGTCACCATCTGTGAGGAAATATAAGATGCCGTGTGGCACCAGTGTAAAAAGGCTCATTAACAAACACTGAAAACCGCCGATTTCAACATGTCTGTGTTTGATGTGTCGGAACAAATGTCAGTGTGCTGCTTTTTATGCAATACATATGATATCCAAGTTTCTCTTTTATGAAGTCTTGAGTCTTTCAGGGAGAAAAAAAAGATCTCTCTAGGACTAGACACTGAGATTTCCAGGCCTCACCCCTCCTCCTGTACGTTTTACCAGACGTAGCGATGCGAGAGGGGAATGGTCGATTGCATAACGGCAGGCGAGACCTGATCGTTCCTGGCCTTCTCGCAAAATTCAATCATTCTCTGCATACTCCAATCCCATGGCGGCCCATTAAAGAGCAGCACAGGCTAGGATTTCCCTTCATGTGTTTTAAATTGAAATTACGGTCACAAAGTCTGCCATCTGCTTGACTCAAGAAAGACAGTGACTGTGGTTAAAGGATGATAGAAAATAAAACTAAGATGAGAAAAGGTTGAGGTAAACAGAATGATAAGGAAGAATGCACTCCTACTTTCTCAAATTACACCACTTGTTCATTTAGCCATTGTGTAAGGAGTCCATCTGTGCATTCTCTCTGAGCCTCAGTGCTCAGTGAAATACAAAATTGACCAATTTTTAAAAGTTGACCATGTCAATTGTCAGAAATTAAGCAATGGCTAAAATAGTGTAAACAGATGTGCAAGGAGTGGACGCAGCTCATCATTAGTCATAGAATCTACAGGAAAAAGTAAGGAGTAGAGTTTTGGTGTGAGAACTCATGCTGATGACCCCAGATGTTTGGGGGGGGAAAAAAACAACAACCTGTGGGACCTGAATCAGACACTGACTAGCCATGGGTTCCTCATTCTTCAGTGTCTTCCCATACACAGGAGGAAGCACACACACACACGTGCACACACACGCTTCGAGTTGTCTAAGATTTAGTGTTAGGAGGATATGATGCAGATGTGATGAGGACCTGGACCTGGACACCCCAGGGAGATGCATCATCACTTTGCTACTTCTCACAGGGTTTCAACAATACAAGGTGACAGGAAAAGAAAAAAAAATACTCTAAATAAGCAACGGTTATAATCATGCTCAATGGTTTAATCCAATTCGGTGTTCATTCTTTCATTCTTAGACCGTCAAGAAACGCAGCTCGTACCGTTGTCATTCAAGATCACGATAAATTATTTTTAATCCAGTGTTCATGTGCTGAGAGGCTTTAAACAATCTGGCGATCATACAGTGACATCTACTGGACGTTTGGAAGAACTTTAAAAAATATATCAAGGAGTTGGTGAGTTTCATAATATTGCACTGCTACGAGTTCCTCACACAATTAATCTATAAGAAATGACGTTCATTTATACAGGTCGTTTTGAAGCACTTGAAATGACTTGCATAAAAATGGCATGAGACGCTTTGTTTCAAACAGTTGCATAGGATTTGTGGTAAAACATATACATATGAAATCAGTCTTAAATAATGTTATCAGTAACATTCCATTGCCAGTGTAAAGGTTCACAAGACAGTTTTTGAAACAAGTGAAAATGAAAAGGACAAAAAGATTGTTGTAAAAGGGCAAAGCTTTCCCAAACCTTTCAGAACTCATCTTTTCCAACATAACTTTCCGTCAAAACTGCTTCAAAAGCCAACAAGTGCGTATCACATTCAAGCTTCAAGACCTTCAATCACCAAATTAATCCATCGTCTCAAACAAGGCAGAGTCAATGCAGTTTAAACAAACAACACACAAACACTTCAACCCAAATTCTTTCTATAAGGTCCACAAAGGCCTGATTACTGATCAGCGCACTGAATCAGTAGACTCCACAATAGTACCACAATACCACAGTCTGATCCAAAATGTCATCTTCATAGATTAACAACAAAAAGTTTGACCTGGGCCAAATATTATTCTGTAACTATGATGCCAAATATGAACAGAACCGACATCCTCTAAACTGACAGTTTCTATCCAATACAGAACACACAACTTCTTGGCTGCAGTTTTTGTGACTAATCTTCCATCCAGCTCCAAGGCTATTCATTACACAGAGCGATGAGAGAATATAAGCACCAACACATTAGCACAAGCAGGCGAAGACAGGCACGGCGGCCACAATAAACACAAACAGATTTTGGTCATTCCACAAAGGCCAAGCAAGGAATGAGATGAAGGTAGACCAACCATTAAGAATAAAAACAAATTGTCCTACTTTTTTGGAGATCTTCTTAATGTTAAAACTGTCAGACCTGTAAGGAATAAAAAAATAATTTTGTTTTAGTCAGTGTCAAAACTCTACCCAATAAATTTATAAAAACACATATAGCACACAAGAGGAGACACTTACGTCGCTGGGTTTGAAATGTGAATCCTGATGCGATCGTTGATGTTCTTGTAGAGCACTAAATAAATAAAAACCATGATAACGTAATACAAAACAGTTTTCATCACTCAACTACATTTAAGAAAACCAGGGACCACACTAAAAACCTTAGCATCAAACTTGTAATAATTGCTCAAATTAGTTAATACTTTTTTTTAAGTAACTTAACTTCTAGTGCTTTTATAAAGAGAATTGTTTATTTGCGTTTTACTGTGACCCATGGCCATGTTGTAATTGTGTAAAATCAACTGATGCGCGTTCAGGTCAGTTGAAGTCGTTGTTGACTTGTTGTAGTTTCTGTTGATGTTTATACACTGTTTACTCCAAATATCACAGTAACATGACTGGAGTTACTAACCGGTTGGGGCGAGTCAGGTTAGCGAGTCCTGGCCTGGTGCTTTTTCCAAGTTAAAGGTTGCGAAAGATCCATTTAAATCCACGGGAGAAATAAGACGCGACATCCATTTGATTAGAAAAAAACGCCCCTTTCCTTTTTGAAAAGTTGTAAAAACATTGATGTTTTTGTTTGTCTAGTGAAGTGACGGTCGGGTAACACACGTGTTCTCTGCAGTGACAAACACCACCTGCAGGTACAAACCTAATTAACACCTGACGATTACCGTGCGCCTCTGTGGCCAGGGCCGTCCAAAGCAAATCTAAGCGCCCACTCCTGTAAGAGCCAGAATGACTAGACAAGGTGGGAAAAAATTGTGTGATTATGTTATGACACCATACATTTGAATTAGTTTAGACCAAAAAACACATTCAATTAAAGGTTGAATCTTTATTTTTCTTTTTAACTTTATAACTCTTTACTACTACTCAAATCAGTGTAGATTCCATGACATGATACTCCATTGCGGGTTTTAAGTAAATTCAGCTGCACACTGGTCAGCCAGTGTTTTCCTACTGGAGTTCAGGGTCGCATTGCCCTCATTAGCTTATTTTAGGTTTAGAGGTATTTTAACATCAGGTTCTGTTACAATGAGATCAATTTAACGGAAAACACCTGACAAGCCTAAGTACTCATTATGCAAATATCAGTTTCATGGCAAATGAAATGGAAACGCACTACTATGTGAAAATATTCTGCTCACTTCCTGTTGACTTTGCAGGTTTAATTTTCTTATTTTTCATAAGTATTTTTTATTCTTAATTTTTTACATATTTCTGACGACTTTCTAAGTAACAGAGAACACATTATTCCATTTGTGTTGAAAGAGCTTTCAATAAAAATGAAATAAAACTAGCTGTACATATTTCCTTTACTGTGGTTTGGACTAAGCCCACACCTACTTACTGCAAGTACCATTACCATTGGATAACATCCATCCATCCATCCATCCATCCATCTATTTTCATCCGCTTATCTGTTACCGGGTTGCGGGGGCAGCATTCTCCAGGACCGCCACCAAAATCACACTGCACCGTACCAGCCCCTCATGAACCTTCCAGCGGGCGGTGGGTCCACTGGAAGGCACCAACCCCTCTAACCGGGATTTGTTTTTGCCCAGAACCTGAACTCTGGGGTTCCACACCAATGACAGAGATATTGCCTCTGGGCCAAAGCACCACCTGTTGATAACACTGCCTTCCAATTATTAGCATATTTTTTTATACCAAGCCTAGTAGAATGGACAGTACTCAGTGTCATCTTGTACTGTCTCATATTTATTGTTATGGTCATATGCTGTATCATCAGGTAGTTGCTACTAGTTTAGTCAATATTTCCATTAGCTTCAAAACAAAAACACTGCCACCTTTTAATTTTTAATGCCACAGTAGAAACATTTTATTTGGTCTGGTTAAACACATGTTAATGCCAAAATCGTATGCATTTCAAAATTACATGAGATTTAGAAGTCTGTCAATAACAGACACAAGACGGCACGTTAAATAGTGACCGTCTTTAACATGAGGATTGACTGTGCTGTGCAGCTGAGTGCAAATCAGAGAAGAGGAAATGTATTCACAATGATAATGTAACAGACTCGCTATGTTAAGAGCTGACACAAGTTTATAAATACATGCATACTCACACTCATGCACACAAAGATGTACACATATTACATACACACATCCCTCAAACAAATTCATAAAAATGTAACTACTGTGCATTTCAGTGTTAGGGTTTAAATACATACTGTACACTCATGACAGTAAGTTGTTACTTCAAATACATGCTGGTGTATTTTTGTTTTGCAGCAGTATTTACCTCTATACATAAATATGGTCTACAGTGGGCACTTAGTGTTGCAGGCATCACCTGATTTAAAGATTATATAGACACTGACAAGGGGGAACACTGAAATGGCCCCAAACATGGAACCCAACTGCACTACAGCCCCACACCACACGAGGGCACTGTGGCCCTCATTCCGCAAGATCACACCAATGATGACTTTTACATAGGACAGGGACAAGACAAAAAGGATCCAGGCACAGATCTGCAGCACAAAGAAATATAAAAGTTAGTATTGAATAATACATCAGTTACACCTGACCTCTGGTTCTCTACATGTGGTTCAAATATTCAAAAAACAATATTAGGGCTGTCAGAATTTGCCACAGGACAGTGTCTACTGATGTGGAAGTGGACCAACCTAATGACTAAATCATGATTAATTGTGATTAATCCACAGCTAACCTGTGATATCTGCTTTGAATTATTGTATCGTTTTACAGCCCTAAAATATATCATTTTGAATAATAGACAGAAAATACAGTGTCGATTCTTACAATAAACACAGCTCCAGAGGCACTATGCACCAGAAGAGGACAGGGACTCAGGGCAGCCATGGCCATGATGTAGGTTCCAAACCCAGTCCCAAAGATGGTAAGTAAAGCCATGAACAGGAGAGACCTGGAAGTGAAAAGATTTAGTATTATTATCATGTTGTTTCTGGTATTATACAAACAAAACACAACTAGCAAAAGTTTCCTTACTTAATCGGTTTGAACATGGCAATGAAACAGGCCAAAGGATTAGCAACAGCTGCCATGGTTGTAGCTAAGTGGTAGGTCTTGTTCCCATAAGGCATACAGGAGTAGGACTGCACTGAAGGCAACACTACATTGGTCAGTGCATTGACCCAGGCCAGCACCACAAAGACGGTGGGTCCACTGGAAGGCACCAACCCCTCTAACCGGGATTTGTTTTTGCCCAGAACCTGAACTCTGGGGTTCCACACCAATGACAGAGATATTGCCTCTGGGCCAAAGCACCACCTGTTGATAACACTGCCTTCCAATTATTAGCATATTTTTTTATACCAAGCCTAGTAGAATGGACAGTACTCAGTGTCATCTTGTACTGTCTCATATTTATTGTTATGGTCATATGCTGTATCATCAGGTAGTTGCTACTAGTTTAGTCAATATTTCCATTAGCTTCAAAAGAAAAACACTGCCACCTTTTAATTTTTAATGCCACAGTAGAAACATTTTATTTGGTCTGGTTAAACACATGTTAATGCCAAAATCGTATGCATTTCAAAATTACATGAGATTTAGAAGTCTGTCAATAACAGACACAAGACGGCACGTTAAATAGTGACCGTCTTTAACATGAGGATTGACTGTGCTGTGCAGCTGAGTGCAAATCAGAGAAGAGGAAATGTATTCACAATGATAATGTAACAGACTCGCTATGTTAAGAGCTGACACAAGTTTATAAATACATGCATACTCACACTCATGCACACAAAGATGTACACATATTACATACACACATCCCTCAAACAAATTCATAAAAATGTAACTACTGTGCATTTCAGTGTTAGGGTTTAAATACATACTGTACACTCATGACAGTAAGTTGTTACTTCAAATACATGCTGGTGTATTTTTGTTTTGCAGCAGTATTTACCTCTATACATAAATATGGTCTACAGTGGGCACTTAGTGTTGCAGGCATCACCTGATTTAAAGATTATATAGACACTGACAAGGGGGAACACTGAAATGGCCCCAAACATGGAACCCAACTGCACTACAGCCCCACACCACACGAGGGCACTGTGGCCCTCATTCCGCAAGATCACACCAATGATGACTTTTACATAGGACAGGGACAAGACAAAAAGGATCCAGGCACAGATCTGCAGCACAAAGAAATATAAAAGTTAGTATTGAATAATACATCAGTTACACCTGACCTCTGGTTCTCTACATGTGGTTCAAATATTCAAAAAACAATATTAGGGCTGTCAGAATTTGCCACAGGACAGTGTCTACTGATGTGGAAGTGGACCAACCTAATGACTAAATCATGATTAATTGTGATTAATCCACAGCTAACCTGTGATATCTGCTTTGAATTATTGTATCGTTTTACAGCCCTAAAATATATCATTTTGAATAATAGACAGAAAATACAGTGTCGATTCTTACAATAAACACAGCTCCAGAGGCACTATGCACCAGAAGAGGACAGGGACTCAGGGCAGCCATGGCCATGATGTAGGTTCCAAACCCAGTCCCAAAGATGGTAAGTAAAGCCATGAACAGGAGAGACCTGGAAGTGAAAAGATTTAGTATTATTATCATGTTGTTTCTGGTATTATACAAACAAAACACAACTAGCAAAAGTTTCCTTACTTAATCGGTTTGAACATGGCAATGAAACAGGCCAAAGGATTAGCAACAGCTGCCATGGTTGTAGCTAAGTGGTAGGTCTTGTTCCCATAAGGCATACAGGAGTAGGACTGCACTGAAGGCAACACTACATTGGTCAGTGCATTGACCCAGGCCAGCACCACAAAGATGAACACCACCTCTGTGTTACTGTATGTACCACTCCCAAAAGAGCTTCTAGGTTCCCAACTGTTTGACTGAGGGACACTGATCATAGGCTTCTGTTCCGGACTCTGACTTTGCATACTCAAACTTTGATCTCTCCTTTTTATACTTGTATCCCCTCCGAAGTGCAGTTCAGCTCTACATTCCCGAACCACAGCTGGGAGACAGTTGAGTAGAATGAAAGCACCTAGGGATACTGCCATCATGGCACTGAGGAAAAAGAAGAAGACCTCAGCAGAGAATTTAGCAGGCATGTATATGGCTTGTAGTTTCTCACTGTCAAGAGCAGTGGAAGTGTTAGTTGTTGTGTTAACAGTAGCAGCTTCAGGGAGATTCTGACAGTGAACCTGGCCAACACCTTGAAGCAGAGCAACCAGGCCAGGGACCAGACCACTGAGGCCTTCACCTACAAAGTATGTGGTGAGGTACTGTGGATGTAGCCTTGTCATAAAGGGCAGGAAAGTAACAGAAGAAGTGCAGTCCACTACTGACAGAAGGAAGCTCAACACCAGCAGGGGGACACTGTGCAGAGAGTCAGCTACTGTCACCGTGACCTTCCAGAAGAT